GCTGAGCCTGGAGAGACGTTCCACATCCTCCCCTCTTCCACCTCTGCTCACTGAGACCTTCACAAAGATGTGTCGAATGTCTCTCGCCATCCTCAGTGAGGTCTTTGTGGGTGGTACCCAAGCCAGGAGGTACCGGAAGCCTCATCACTGACTCTGGGAATGAGGAAATCCAGTTCAGCTTCTGGGCACACCAACTTCTCTCCAAAAGAAATGTAGTTGCTTCAGTTGATTGTCATTTTGAGTCCTGATCCACAGTAAAATCCTCATTTTATTACTTTAGAGTACAGCATAATTTTAAACAATGTAGGATGAGCAACTTAAACTACTAAATTATAAGAAAACCATAAAATCATCAGAACTATGCCTGCACTGGTGGCATCTCATTGGGTTTTTACAGATGACCCTGGACATTGCTTGTTGGGGACCCCTCAGTGGGGAAGGACTGATAGGAAGGAGCCTGTTCTACTTCCTGGTGTCCTGGGCTGATGTTCTAAAGCCAAGAAAGCTCAATAGCCTCTCTTTCTCCTTCTGACCTTTCATCTTGATCTGTGTTTGCAAAGAAAAGCAGTAATAATTTATTCTACTCTCTTTAACTCTTTTGGGCTTAATTTATTGGGCCAACAGGCTCATAAAAGAGAAATTACTTTTCTCCATAAATTAGAAGCAAAGGAAGATTTCAGAAACAAAGTGGCCTTCCTTCTCTGGAGGTGGCACTGCCCCCGGATCTCCTCAGCAGCACCTTCAAGTCGGAAGCTTGTTTCTGCAGCAGAAGGGCCGTCAGTCGCAGCCGGCTGCTCGCTGTCCGCAGAGCAAGCGTGAGCAGCCGCCCGCGCAGCCTATATGCCCCATCGGGGTGATGGCTGCGGCAGCCACCCCCAAACCACACACTCCTGCTCACTTTCGCAATAGAAAGAGGGGCCATCTGCCCGACGACCAGTCATATTCTGGTCAGTATCTGGACAATAGTAATTTGTTTTTAACTTGGGATCCATTCTGTCAGTCTCTGCTTTACTTCACATTAGGAAAATTTTCCTCGTGATCATACACTGAACTTCTATAACCAACAGCATGTTTTGTTCCTAATATAGTTCACATACAGCTTTTGGGGCAGTCTGAGAATCAGAACCACCCTCGACATGCCAGGCAAGCGCTCGACCAGGAAGCTGTGTCTCCCAGCTCCTATGAGGGATATTTTGCACAGGCTTCTGAAAATACCATTTAATTCAAAGGAGTGAAATGAGTGGTGAACCTGAGGCATGCGGTCATAGGGACAGTCGCCAGTGGTCTGCTAAACTCCTGGCATTGCAGGAAGCAGATGGCCAGCTCTGTGTCCACACTGGTCGCCCTGGATTCCAGGAGCGCAGGGCTGGAGGCCGTCCAATGAGCATGGGCCGAAGAGGCAGCTCAAAGCGACCATGAGGCCTCGGCTGGTTCCCAGGAAAAACAAATGTAATTCTAAAAGTAGTTTTAAAAGTAGAGATCCTAGAAATCTAAGAAATAGTAACTCTTCGTTCAGGTATGTAGTAAAAGACTATGAAAGAGGAATATGAAAAATAAGTTCAGAAGATAAAGGCGGAGGCGGGCTTGGGGAGAAGTCTGTCTATGAGAACAGAGTGGGGAAAGAAACTAGTAGGAATTTGTGCTGAGCTAAATCTAGAAAGTGAATAGAAATTTACAAAGGCTACTCTTTCATCCCTCCTAGTATTTGTTTCTACAAAACATCTCACGTAATCTACCACATACTTTATATTTATATAGCTATAAGTAAATCACATATATTTCTTTTTCTTAAGTCAGGGCCTCACTAGGTAGCCCAGGATGGCCTCAAACTCACAGCAACCTTCCTGCACCAGGCCCTCCCTCTGGCACTGTGGCACAGGCACATGCCACCCACCATGCCTGTTACACGTTCATCCATGCCCCAAAGCTCAGACCTGCTGAAGTACCGCAGCCAGTCGTACACAAATCGTCCACGTGTTTCTCCTTCAGGAGACCCAAACGGCAGTAGCTAGAAGCACACCAAGATGGGGCGTGATCATGCACGGACATGGGGCAGCACCTGCGTTTTAGGCCATAATTCTGAAAGGAATCTGAAACCTTCCTTCAGGATCCTAGAAAAGTCCCAAGCCGCTTCGCTGTTGGCCTCGGGATCCCTTCCCTCCCGGAGTGGGTTTATTTGCATCTTTCTGACCCCCACGCCCACTTCCTTCCTGCTTCCTCCCAGGAACGTTTCCTAATTCCATTCCAGTCCTGACCTCAGGGTCCAATCTGGGGCAAGCCGGACACTTGTGCACTTATTCATCACGATGTGTAACACATTTAGGAACTGACCCACTCTTTTCCCAAACACTTGTCCTTTCTAAGCAAAAAGTCTTCATAAACACAGCAGTCACTCAGTAGAACACAGCTGACAGTGGTCACCACCAGCTGGAAGGAGGTTTCCACTGTTTTGTTTCATTCCCACAGGTGGGAGTCTAAAGAGAGTTGAAAGGCCTTCGCTGGTTCTACCTGAGTCACACAAGAGTGACCTTTCCACACTTCGATGACCAATCCAAGGACCACTCAGCATCACTTAACACCTGTGGAGTGGTAACAATGGCAGACTCAAGGAAAAGCAGGAAAGAAAATATTAAGACACTGAGTTCAAGAGAAGAAAGATTCGCACTGCCAGCCTTGGATAAGGGCAAGGACGTTCTGTTACAGGGTTGCAGGAAAGAATGAAGAAACAATTCTTGAAAGATATCTGTGGGTGAGATGAACTGAGGCAATCTCACTCATGGGGGACTGATGTGTCTCACACAGGGAGCACAGGGCTGAGGGCAGGAGGCCAGGGCCTTCTCGCCCTGGGCGGAAGACGCAGTCTTTATAAAGAGCTGCTTACAAACAGGCTTCATCTTACCTCTCTGGTCATTGCAAGTGAGCTTTATTACAAATTATAGTGAGATTTGAAGTGTAAGTTGTACTTATTTTGCAGAATTTAAAAAAGTAAGTGTATTATTTGTAAATGAGAAATTCTTAAAATTCTATGGTATGAATTGTGCAAAGGTACTCGGATTTTTATAAAGCTTTTTTATTTGCAATCATAATGTATTATGTATTGTTTAAAAAAGTATGAAGGAGTGTTTGTTACCCACAAACTGCATAAAAAATAATAAAAAAAAAGTTTAGGTGTTGCTGCAAAGTACAGTTTGAATCAAATAAAATTGATGCTTTCAAGGTCAGAATGATTAACCATCGGTAATTTTATAATGTTCCTTTTTTTAATCACTAAAGTCAGACTAGATATCAGACATTCAAAACACCATTAAAGGTGACAGTTAAGGGAATTTGCCAAATGCTCCAGTAGGGAAGTCAGTTCTTCGAAAAGGAAGTGATGGTCTCACAATGAATCTCCTTAGTCAAGAACAGTATGGGGTCACCCAAATAGCTCAGCAGACTAAAGCACCTGCAAGCAGGCTCAGAGGCCAGGGGATTGATCCCCGGGCCTTCCATGCCACACGCTGCCCCCTCCGTCCTGTGCTGAGACTGGGCATGGTGGCATGCACCTGTAATCCCAGCTCTTAGGAGGCTGTAAACAGGCGATCTCTATGAGTCCGATCTAGTAGTGAGACCCTGAACACCTTATAGATCCTTCCCTAAAATACAGGAAAAATAAAAAAAAGAACAGTGACGTCATAAGCCACACTTGCTAGCAGAGCACCCAAGACCTCACACCCTCACCACAGCCATGAGTTTCTGACTCATTTTGTACTCTTCCCACACAAATGTCTGATGGCCAATCCAGACCACAAGGCAGAGCCTGGAATCCTCAGGAGCCTCCACCTGAAGAGTGGCCTCCCTGTGGCTCCAGCTCCTGAACTCTTACTCATTCTTTGAAACGCATGTCAAGCAGCTGTGCACTGGGATTCTTGCCTCCAAGAAGAGCAACACCTTCTGCTCTATGAACCCGCAGCCTTCGCACCTGCTCAGACTCTCCGTGCTCTGCACCCAGTCTTGGCACCCTCTGGCGTTGCACCCGACTTGCTCGGAGGCCGCATTGCCCCTGCATCAGCAGGGAGCGTCGCTTCACTTTAAATCTTGAGAAGCCAGCACAGGGCAGGTACACATGAACTGAACTGACATTCATTAGCAAAACTAAGTCTCCTATTTCCATCACCCTTCGCTCAACCAGAGTTAGAGGTGAATTTAAAGTCTTACTATGGAGAAGACACTTGGCATAGTAATCATATTTGGAAGCCTGGGGAGGAACAAATAGGGTCAGTCC